TGAATCAAGATTTTCCTTAATGGAGAGCATTAGGACCACTGATCTTCATGAAGTATCTTAACATGGGGGTGAGAAAGGAGGTAGGATTTCACCCCTTTTAGGTAGCCCCACTGAAAAAGAGAGCCAGGATGGATGGTGTTACTAGATAAGGGGAAAACATTACAGGACACCCAGTTAAATTTCAATTTCAGATAAACAGTGAATAATTTTTAAATATGTCTCATGAAATATTTGGGACATTCTTATACTAAAAATAGTTATTGTTTATCTGAGAATCACTATTTCCTATGTTCTGGGTTTTCCACTGGATATAAAGAAACTTTGGGTGTCCTGCATTTTATCTGGCAACCCTAAATATGAAAAAAAAAAAAGTAATTGAGGATGAAGAAAGAGAGGAAATAAGATTAATATTCCATACCCAGATCCCAGACAAAGGAAGATTACGGATTTTTTGCTTTGAGCATGAGAACCTGTGCAGATTCTCGGATTAGACATGAGTTTCCTATTGTGAGACCACACATAGGTAGGTAGCGAAAGGGGGAGAGTGTCGCATGCTTGCTTTTTGAAAAGAAAACCACATTGGGCTCACTAAATGCTGATGGGTCTTGAGCGATCCTCAGGGAGCCAAGGTAGTTCATCTTACTTGAGAAGATTCCATTTTAAAAAGCAAAGCTTTGGATTTGTTTCATGGGAAACTTATAAGCAAAATGGGTTCGCTGCATAGAACAGCTTTAGAGGTGAACCGGTTCTGTTGGTGATAGAAACAAATGGGAATTTAGTCTCATTGTATGACTGAGTTTAATAAGTTAATGGATGTTTGAGAAGCATCAGGTGCTCCACAAGTGGTGGGAACTCAGGTAAGTTCTAAAGTACATTTCTCGTATCATTTTGTTAAAAAGCCATTTTTAACAAAGACATAATTTCTCCTTAAATTTTAATCCCAAATTGCAACATCAACAACAAAAATGACAATGGATTAAGGCTGGTCATAATGTGCCCTTTTCTTTAGGATAACTTTGATTTTTTAAAAAATAAGATATAATACACTTCCACACACATACCACATACCAGCAAACACTTTTGACTCATACAAATATATATTTAGAACAAACACCTAAAAATAGTCCCACAAAAGAAATAAAAGTTACACAATTACCAACAGATTCAATCAACACATTTTACAAATTCTACAGAACACTTTATCATTGTCATTGGGGAAACAAACAATTTAGAGCATTATTTAAAACCGCAGGTAGCACAGGAGCCACCAATGAGTTATGGCAAATATAGCATTTACACCATTGTGTCACTGAAGTCTAGTTGAAAAGACTAAAACGCTGCAAAATAAAATACTTTTTAAAAACCTTGTTTAGCGTATCCTGAGGGACACCGTGCATCATTTCCTACGAGCAGTTCAAAGGGTGAGCATTCTACCTACGGAGCTCTTATTGAGTGGCCAAAGGTTAGAAGATTGGGTCATTGGATCTGAAAAATTGTAGAACTAGAAAACTCACGAAAACATGCATTTCCTGAGACTTCCAACTTTTCAGACTAAAATTCTATCAGGGGAGAACCTGAACGGGTCAGAACCTCAAAGTACTGAAAACAACTCTAAGTGAACATGAGGACTTGTTTGTAATTTATATTCAAATCCCTGTTCCATTCTCTAGCTTGAAATATAATTGACAGTGTAGTTAGACTATGACTGCTGGGCATTTCTTATTTATGATCTTCTCATTTTTCATTGGTTTCCTAGTGATTTTCCTCCTCTTGAATATTCAAATATTTGAATTATGTTTATGCCTACTCACATAGGAAATAATTGATTTTAAGAGTTAAAATGGCAACAGAATTAGGTTGAGTGATTACAGTTTCAATTTGAATAACGTGTGTGTGTGTGTGTGTGTGTGTGTGTGTGTGTTTGCTTGTGTGAAGACACACAGCATATACATGCCAAACGTTTTATGCTCTAATACATTCACTGTTAGGTGGCACTTCATGAAAGTGACTTTTCCCAATATGGCTGAAAGTGAATATTGAGGTCATCATACAGAATATCCTAAGGCCTTGAAACAATGCCTCCTCATTCTCTGCATTCACATGATTGTGTAGTAACAAGGGAGACATAAATGATAATGGCAGGAGCATTCCATTTGAGTCCTTTAAAATTACAGACAGGAGAGCAAACCAAAAAATGACTCTCTTTGCATAAGTTCCCTCATCCATCCCACCTACTCCTTTGACTTCCTGCTGTAGATTAGATGAAAGTTGCATTTTGTTTCTCTATTTTTTGCCTTGCAGAATATGTGACATAAAGTCTTAAGAAACAAGCAGAACAAAAAGCACACCAAGATGTATCTCCTACCATCTTGGGGTCTCTTTGTAGCCCTTTACTTCTAGCTTGTCTGGAAAGACATTGCCCAGCTAAGACAAAGAAGCAGAGGCTGAGGGTAAGTTCTGATTGCATATTACTAGCCCTCACAGCCCCCCCACCCCCACCCCCACGGCCCAGCATGCTTCCTAAGTGCTCTGGGCAGGGCCAATAAACAGAAGACAGACAAAGGCACCTTCTCTTTTCTCCCCGTTCAAAGGAATCCCTTCTAGTGGACTCTACTCAGTTGGAAGACCCACAGTTCACTTCTATCTGCTCTCTCCCTTAGAAATTAAGGCAAGTCCCTTTTCTCTCAGTTCCTGCGACATAGCATTGTGTCCACGTGGAAGCAGTAACAGTGGCTTGAAGAGACCTTCTGTCAAGTATATCATTAGTAGCAATAGAAAACTTTCTCCAGTTAAGAAATTGCACAATCAGTCTAATCCTTCAGCAGGGTTTTGTTTTTGTTTTTTCCCCTCCAGCACCGAAATGACAAATACAGTAAAGCAATACTCTAAGCAAACTATATGAAAGCATCTGAGTTCAAGAAAATACAACATAGATACCTCTATTTCATTAATTTTCATGAAAATGTTGAAATATTTGTTTCCTGCCATATTGATAAGTTAAATCCTATGTCATTTCAAGTGTGCTTGGCTAAAGATCCTCCTGAGGGATGAACAATGGATAGTCAGCAAGAAAACTTGCCCAAAAAGCAACTTTACAGGACATAAATTTCCATGATCCATAACCCTTTAAAAAGGATTCATATTCAATTGCACATAAGGAACAGGTGAAAGACACAGGAAGACAATACAACTGCAAAGCAGAAAGAAAACTATATTTGTAAATGATTAAGTCCCAAGCTGAATTATGTTTAAAAAAATATTTGAATATGATCAGCTACTCTACTTTCAAAGGTCTTATCATTTTTTTATACATTGTTAAGGGTTTCACAGTCTTAAAATTAAATTATTTTATATTATCAATATTTTCACTTGAAAAAAATAATTTGTGTCTGTCCATGCTTGTGTTTGTGTGTATTTTAATCTCTCTGCATAGGAGTGGGTATGTATTGATATATTGTGTAGGGCAAAACATACACAAGTGGAATGTAGATCAGATCTGCTGAGTGTATTTGCATGGTACTTGGTCTATTGCATCTATTTATATACTTTTCATAATTTTCTTCAGTACAAACAATTTATCTTTCCTGCAATTGCCAATAAATACTATTTTCTGATAATGAATATTTATAACCATGTAAACAACTCTTAATTATTTATAATCTGGACACACATAATCCTATCATCAACTCCCTTACCTAGGTCTCAGATATTTAATCACATGCCTTACATTTAGATTAATTAGAAGTTGAGAGCACACTTCTATTTATGTGGGCTGTGTTTTCCCAGGAAATTATTGATGCATGATTATTTCTAAACATTAAGATAATTCATAAGAGTTTCAGCAAATTTTATAATTTTTTATAAATGCCTCACTATATTCCTATGAGGCATATAGATAAAGATTATTGTGCTCTTTTAAGACTATTTTAGCATTGTCAAATATCATAAAGACAACAAGGAGGAAACAATACTCATAGTTGCATCATCTTTTCACTGTAGACAGGGACAGTCAAATGTTGGGCACAGAAACTTTCACTCTGTTTCATTCTCAACTCTAGTGGAGGATGGAACCCAGAGGGATAATCTGGGTCAGTTTTCAGTAGAATCTGCTAAAGATGGTTCATGGATTCTTGTAACTTCACAGACAGAGTTTCAAAAGCATTGCTTTGACTCCTTCTGCCACCCTTCCTCCCTTTTCAACTTTAACTAAAAAAATAAAAACTTCAAGTAAAGATTCTTGAAATATGTCTCTCAAAATCTGGGATTTAAAATTACATGTTTAGAAATCCTTATTTGATAGGAAAGCTTGCACAATCTTTCATTTCTTTCTTCTTCCTCCTCTGCCCCCAACCCCTTTTCAATCAAGTGAATTGTTAGGAGAGCTTTTGTAAGAGTTCTTTGCAGAGTTCTCTGATTTTAACATACTCTTCAGTCATAGTTTTTCATTTACTGGGCATTTGTAGGGCGATGTTATTAGGAGATTCTTGAATTAAATTAGCAACCATCTCTTCCCAGTCCCCCAATTTAAAGTTGGCACAAGTAATTCTTCCAAAGAATTGTTTGCTCTATATTTATAGCTGCCTTAAATAGAAATACAGTGAAACACTATTGTTTTTTGTATTACCCAAAAAATCACTGATGATGGCCTTCAATATTACTGATGCAGGGAAACTGTTTTAATGCATATTTTCTATGACAAAGAGTTAGCAATGATTGCCCAGTTGCAGATGACAACAGAATATTATACCATGTTCCACACAACAAATAAATTTCACTACAACAATGTAATACACATTCTGTTGGGAACAGTCAATTGTTTTGAGTCCCATACAGCATCTGATTAAGAAGAGCGAGCAAAGGGGGCAGGGTGAGAAGGTTCAGTTAGGATACAGAGAGCATAGCAGATCTAGGTTGAAATCAGAAACACAATCAAGTAAACACTTGTGAGTTATATATCACAAAGACTAATTCTGAAAAACAAATTTCACTGGTCTTTTTTAAAATCTCTAACACTAGAAGTAGATTTCGCTCACCAAACGGGAAATGAAATATTTATACTAATGCAGAGACTATGATAATAACCACTCAAGAATTGGATTTCCCCTTTTCCCACCCACTGCCAGCCCTAGTTCCCTCAGAGACTCAGTGGAATAGGAAGATCAGAGTGTTTCTAGATAATATGCCTAATACAATGAGTCTTCTCTATCTTATTCATGAATGCTCAAAATGGTACTATCAAGTGTTGGCTTCTCCTTCATCAAAGACATAGTTGAGCTTTATGACAGTGCTGATGAAATCACCAAGTTCTACAAAATCGGCAGTGACAATATTGATGCCGCTCTCTCCTGGTTTCTGCGTGCTGACCCACTGCATCATGGCGGGAAGAGCCCTGAGAAAGGAAAGAAAAAGAGAAGTTGTGGGTTCTTGAAGTTAAAGCATGGCATGAAATACTTGTGTATATGCCTGGGTCTCAGAGAGTATATCTAATCTATAAGCTCAACCCACTTAGGCAAAACTGGGTCAATGGCCTTGAACTACATTAATCTTATGAGTAAAATACCATAAAAATACTGATCCCTATTTTCTACTATACACATTTTTTTTTTTTTCTGTTAGACACATAGAGAAGGATCCAGCTCCTTCTAAAGGAGCATATTATGGATCTAAAGTGCCAATGCCTTCAGAAAATAGACTGGCAGGTGGAGAAATTTGGTCCTTCATGGCAATAGTTTTAGAAGAGAATTCTATTAAAATGAAAAATCTGGATCCTTAGAGCAGAGACACAAGCATATTCAAGTCATTAGAAAGACAGATGTTGTGGCAATGTGTGTGCAGCCACTCGGGTTTGAAGTCCATTACTTTCTGGGTTTCCTAGAGCAGATGACATATTCCTGTTACAAATGTAGCATGATGTTGGCGTTTTACGAAGGCAGATAGTTCTGGAAAAAACCAGTGTATTTCCTGGGAAGGATGGTTGTTAAATAAATATGCTCGGGTTGAGAGGTGAGAGGAAGGGGTGGGTAGAAATGATGCTGAGGCCAATGCTGATTCTGTATTAACTTTAACTTAGTGTCTGGCTTAGCCGTTCCTTAGGCTCTGGGATACCAGGCCATGAGAGGTTCCTGAGCAGCCAACCTCCCACCTTAGAACTATTATCATCACAGAAACACCTCCTCAGATGCCTCTGCTTCTCATAGATTAAGGGTTCCTGGGCCTGGATTGAAAACAATTGTTATCCCCATGGAGAGGCATTAAGAGAACATAAGAATGCTCATCTGTTTCTGGATAAAATAGATTGCTTTGAGGATTGAAACATCCTTTTGGAATAGCTTGTAGTCCTCACATAAAATACAAGTTTTACATTTAAAATACCATTTCTCTTCACCATCCTATTGCCCGTGACCATGGGCTATGCATATGTTATTTGGTTTATCTCTTCTCATTCCCTCAAACCCATATTGAGGATGTCAGTCTGTTCCATGCCTCCCTGCTTCAGATCTTATTTTGGAGGAGAGTAAAGCAGGGAGTGGGTGAGAGTCATTTATAATATCAACAATAAAAAATCTCCTAACCAGAATGCTTCAATCACCTCTCAGTGTTTTTAGGATGAAAATAAAAATCCTTAATTAACCTATAGGACCCTGAACAATGGCTATTGATTTCAGAAAGGAAGGGCAAGGGAGAGGAAAAGGGAGAGGGAGATAGAAACATCCATGATGAGAATCATTGACCAGCTGCCTCCTGCATGCCCTACCAGCCAGGTGTAAATTTTTTATTTGCCCTCACAAGTTTTGTCCTCTTGGGGGCAACATTAACATCGAGAATGCATGATTTATAGCAAACTGACAAGTTGAAATCATACTTAGTTGTGATGTTTTTCTATCCAGCTTTCACAATTCCAATCAAAGTCAGAAAGGGGGGTGGGGAATAAACTTGGTACACAAAGCTTCAAAGCCCTCCTCTGGAATGTGCAACTCTCCTGAGGAAAGGCATCTTCAAATAGGTTCCAGGTCTTTAGAAGAGAAACAAGTAAGTCTACAGCAGTAAGAAAATCTCCCTCCAAGAAAGCAACAGGAGGTGGGAGATGTGGGAGCCAGAGATCTTCTCATGTTCTGGCTTTGAGAACTGGCTTTGAAAAGGTTTAGGAGTTGGAAGTGCTGAGATCAATATACCTCAATGTGCTGACCTTGACTGATTAATTCATGTCAGGGTCATGAGATTAATTCAATCTCCTACCCAGAATACTTCAATCACCTCTCAGTGCTTTTAGAATGAAAACAAAAAGTGTTAACTAACCTGTGGGGCCCTGAACAATGGCTACCAGGTGCTTCTTTTGTGTCATGTCATCTCCCGTCACTCTTTCCATCACCAAGTTCTAGTCCCATCCCAGTCTTAGTCATCTTGAACAGCCTAATTTTCCTCAGGGAACTTTGTAAATGCTGCTGTTATTTGCTTGCTTTGCTTTTTGTTTATTTATAAAGAGTGGTTTTCTCCCCTGCTCCTTCACTGGAACTCATTTTTCAGGTGATATTTTAAATGTCACTTCTTTAAAACACTAGTCAGAATTGTAATTATATTGATGTGTTTGACAGATATCTGTTCCTCAACTAGACTGCAATTTCTTTAGCACCAGGCTGTGTACTTTCTCCCTGGTGTATTCCCAGTCCTTAGCATAGTGCCTGGCAGACTACGCACTCAATAAAGACATGCTGAATACATGAATAGAATTTACTTTTAGAAACAAAAGCTTTATTTTTAGAAAAGAATATATTCAATAATATAATTCATGAAAAGGCTACTGTTTTCCTTACTTTGGTACTGCCATAGATTTCCGTTTGTGAATTCACTGCTATTCGTTTGAAGAAAAAGATGTTTTTCTTAAACTAACTTGAAGAGCTTTAACTTTTCTTTATTTGGCAGGTCTCACTGGCAAATTTTTGAATTCACCAAACAATTTGCAAAGCAACTTGCCCCACATTATACATTTAGTGCTATGAGATTTTGTGTTGATAATGATAGCATTTTATCATCTTCATAAAAATAAAGTTTATTAGAATTAAACTTAATTCATCAGATTTATTCAATTTAGTTGTTATTAATGTATTATTAATTTCAATTATTAAATAGGTTACCAATTAAAAGAGTAATATGCAAATTACCATCATTCCGCTACACCCACAGCCATGCCCACAAACCACACCCACCAGCCAATCAGAGCAAATATGCAAATCAATCCCAATCAAGATGGCTGTCATCACAGAGAGCAGGAGAGAGGCTTGGGTTTCCCCAGCAATGGAGGAAGCTAAGCTTTCCACACACCCTGGCGGGCCTCCACTCAAGGCCACAAAGTTTCAATTATAGAAGATAAGTCCCAAGAAAAATGGCGACAGCCATGGAGCTGGAGAGAGCAGGCTAGGGTTGCCCCCAGCGATGGAGGAAGCCAAGCTTTCCACCTGCCCTGGCCAGCCGAGGCCTCCACTCTAAGCTACAAAGTTTCAATTATAGAAGGTGAATAAACTCCAAGAGAAATGGCTGCCACCATGGAGCAAGCAGAAGACTTGGCTTTGCTCTAGACTACAAAGTTTCAATTGTAGAAGATAAATATATCCCAGATACCAGGGCCTCTCCTTGGGTCACCGTGGCCGGCCTGCAAATCACCCCAGGCTCCTTACCCTAGGCCACCCCACACCCCAAGGAAACCCCCACCCTGATCTGGGATCCTTCAGGGCAAACCAGCTACCCCCCCACCCATGCACCAGGCCTCTATCCTATCTAATAAAAGAGTAATATGCAGATTGACCATCATTCCAACACAAAAGATCAAGACAGCTTCCCCCATGTGGTCAAAGATCCTGCCCCCATGTGGACACAAGATGGCCACCACAAGATGACCAGCAGGGGAGGGCAGTTGGGAGGCACCAGGCCTGCAAGGGAGGGCAGTTGGGGGCAATCAAGCCTGCAGGGGAGGGCAGTTAGGGGTGACCAGGTCGGCAGAGAAGGGAAATTGGGGGCAAAAGGCTGGCAGGGGAGCAGTTAGACTTCAATCAGACTGGCAGGGCAGTGGTTAATAGGTGATCAGGCTGGCAGCAGAAGCGGTTAGGGGCAATCAGGAAGGCAGGCAGGTGAGCAGTTGGGAGCCAGCAGTCCTGATTGTGAGAGGGTGCAGGGTGGGCTGAGGGACAATCCTCCCCCCCCCCAACCCCCAATGCACAAATTTCATGCACCAGGCCTCTAGTCATTACATAATTCAATATTTACATGTATTAGACATTAATGAGGAATCCCTGTGAAATTCATATTTAGGTGTGCTGGTGTAACATAACACTTTTACAATGAATGCATTTTATATGTGCTACTTTTCTAACTTCCTTATACCTGTGTTTTGTAGTAATGAACAAACAATTGTAGATAATAAAACATTTCTAGCAAATTTTATTTGAATGCATTCTTTATTTTTTAAAATACATTTTTAAAATTGATTTTTGAGAGAGAGAGAGGGGGAAGAGAGAAGGATAGAGAGAAACATTGATGCAAGAGGGGAACATTGATCTGCTGCCTCCTACATGCCCCCTACTGGGAGTCAAGTTCAAAATCCAGGCATATGCCCTGACAGGGAATTGAACCAGAGACCTCTTGAATCACAGGCTGACACGCAACCATTGAGCCACACCTGCTGGGCTGAAAGCATTCTTTTTTTTTTTTTTTTTAAATTATTATTGAAATGGATTTCTTTTTTAGTGAATAAAATAGAATCTTCAAAATCAACTCATTAATTTTTACCGACCTCTTTGATGCACTGGGGATAAAGATGACTATGAAAGCATCAGAGCCTTGTTGCTGCTTATCCTGAATCTAGTCTCTCCTGAGAAATAAAGACTTCACTGATCAACAAAGTTTAAAATAATGACCACAGATCTTTCTTCCTCTGAACAACTGAGTCAATCAGGAGCAACTAATTGAAATTAAATATGACATATTTTAAAAATGTGATCTGTCAATCTGGCCATTTCTGAAAGTTGGGAACTTTCACCAGAAAATGAAGAAAAAGACAAAACAGCCAAAACCGGTTTGGCTCAATGGATAGAGCGTCGGCTTGGGGACTGAAAGGTCCCAGGTTCGATTCCAGTCAAGGGCATGTACCTTGGTTGCGGGCACATCCCCAGTAGGGGGTGTGCAAGAGGCAGCTGATCGATGACTCTCTCTCATCGATGTTTCTAACTCTCTCTCTCTCTCTCTCTCTCCCTTCCTCTCTGTACAAAATCAATAAAATATATTAAAAAAGAAAAGAAAAGGAAAAGACAAAACAAAAAGGAGGAACTCTTGCCCCAAAGATTGGCATTTCATGCACTGACCACCCAGCAATAAAAAGCAGCGCCTTTGCCCCTGTAG